GACGCTGCAGAGATTCTTCCAGCCCGTTCGCAGTTCACGAAATGCCCAGAACCAGGACTATAACCATGGATTCAAGGCTGTAGTGCTTCCAGCTGCCACACCCACACAGCATTTAGCTAATAATGGTGTATCGATATCGAATCCTACACAGCCGGTTGAGGGGATGGGTATGAATAATACGGGTCTGGACGTCGACATGGACATGGATATGGATGGGGGTTGTGGGGGTATGGAGGGCTTCGTGCCGGTGCATGTGTTGATGGCCCTAGAGCAGGGGCAGGGGCAAGTACATGCACATCATCGTCATCATTATCATCAACAACAACAACAGCAACAACTGCACGAGCAGGATAGGCGATGGGTTGGTGGTATCGGATGGATGTAGTTTGTGTGTGCCTATTGGATTGGGGGGTTTATGTCTCTTAATTGCTTATTTCTTATTGATTGCGGTTTTGTGTCACTGCTGTATATATATATGGGCGTGCGGCGTTCTTTTTTTGGGTCGGATGTCTGATATGTTTTTAGCCCTTCGAAACGGAGCAAGTTCGTTCATTTGGGATGTGAGGTCCTGCTGCTTGCGGGTATGTTCTTCTTGTCTCCCTTGCCATTATATATCGGTAGATGTCAGCTGGAATCATAGAAGTAGATGTACGAAGAACATTTGAAGCACAGAAGAGGCGCCGTTTTTGAATTCTCTTGAACTGAAATTGCTCAAGAGATGTTGCATAAGAGCATGGATAGCACCCGATGCATAGAAATATGTACATCCCCTTCGAAAGAAGAAATTGTATTAATAGATTCTTCTCAATGTGGCGTATTCTATATATCCAACAGCCAACATCAAACTGTGGCGCGACCATTTATCATAAGGGTCGAGTGTGGTTTAACGGGTTTTCAACGGTCAAGAAGAACAGAGCTAACTAGACATGTTGTTATGAATAAATGTAGATAACTAAATAATATTTAGTTCCAAACTGGTTTGGTTTTTTATTTTTGATATTTTCTTTATGCTTTTATAGCTCTAGCAGGATCGCCGGCCTTATCCTCGCCCAGCCAGGATTGAGTGGGTTAATCTTAACCCTATCCTATCCACCACCAAGCAACTTCCAACCTCCGACCTCAACCTCCGACCTCAACCTCCGACCGACCTCGACCTCGACCTCACCAACTTCCACCTCCCAGTCCCGCCTTGCATCCAGCTCTATCTCTCTGCAATCCTGTTTCTCTATACCCACCTGCCCATCGTCCGTTGCCGTTACAGCTGCGATTGTTGCCGTCGGAATTTCTTGACTACATCCCCCCCCACATCTGCCAGGTGGTGTGTGTTTTTCAGCCAATTGAGCAAGGGTTTGAAACAACCTCTTTGAAGGAAACTTTTGAACCACCTTAACTGTCTGAACAACACCAATCACTGCACCCTCCCAATGGCGCCGTCATTATGAACTTCCCCGTACGCTGCTCTGTTTCATAGGAAGCAAACAAAACAGAAAAGAAAAAAACAACACCGTCCCGCGGATATCCATAGCGAAAGCCCCTGATATCTACCGGCTTCGAAATATACAATATTGGTTTGGAGGCCTACACCGGGGGACATTCAACAATAACTAACATCTCTCGCCTATCACTTGTTCATTCCCGCCGAAAGCTTTCCCCCATTTTGTCATTAAACTCCCTCCAATCCGGCGCCATACATAGCCTACCCCTCGTTCCCGGACAAAGCCAGCTATGCCTGGCGCAAGCTTCGAGAAATCCGTCAAGGGGGCAACAAAGACTAAGGTCAGTATATATATATCCCTAAATCAATCACCGACGCCATTCATTATCCCTCATAACCATATCCCATCCAGTTCCAAAGAGTTAAACCCAGCCAAAAAACTGACACAATCCTAAAAACAAAACTAGAATGCCGCCCCGAAATCCAAATATATCGAACATATCCTGACCGCAACATACAGCGAGGCCGGCGTCGCTGAAATCTTTCGCACGCTCCAGTATCGCATCCGTGATTCAACATGGACCATTGTGTACAAAGCCCTCATCGTGGTGCACATGATGATCCGCGAAGGTTCCGCCGGCGCTGCGCTGAAATATCTAGCGCAGCATCCTAGGCTTCTGATCGTTACGAGTATATCTGAAGGTACTTTTTTTTTTCTCTTTTCTCTGAGAGCGACGGAAGTGGTGGTGGCAGATATGTCAAATGTGTGGCTTTCATGCTATTGTATGCAAAATTGTTGACCTTCAAGTCTAGTCCAGGCCCAAGGACTGAATATATGGAGATACTCTGAATATCTCATTTCGCGCGCGAATGCCTTTGCGGAGACCAAGACAGATTTCGTACGCGGCGGCGAGGGACGGTTAAAACGACTTACTGTTAGTAAGGGCTTGTTGAGGGAGACGGAGATTGTGCAGAAGCAGATACATGCCCTGGTGAAATGTGATGTGAGTTGCGCCGACTGCGTATACTGTTTTTTGGCACCCCATTGGACACAAGCTGACGTCCTTTTCTTTTTTTTCCTCTCCAGCTCTTAATGGACGAACCGGATAATGAGATTAGTTTAACAGCATTCCGGTTGCTGACGTTAGACCTCCTAACGCTATATTCTGTGATGAATGAGGGAACTATTAATATTCTAGGTATGTATACCTGGTTCGCAGGATCCTACTTTAGGATGATAGCTTACGTTGGGCGTTATAGAAAATTACTTTGAAATGTCGCGACCGGATACCGAACGTGCTTTAAAGATATATAAACGGTTCAGTGCGCAGACGGAAGACGTAGTGAAATTTCTACGGATCGCGCGGCAGTTCGAAAGCGCCACGCGCCTGGCGATACCGAATCTAAAGCACGCCTCAACCGACCTAGCCAAGCTTCTTGAAGATGACCTTAACGATCCAGATTTCGACCTGCGCCGGCGGGAATATCGTGCGCAAAAGTTTGGCACGAGCAGCGAAGAGAAAGAAAAAGGAGTTGCGAGAAGCAGATCAGTCTCAGCGCCGCAGAAATCTAAGCCTGCGCCTGTTTCAGCGCAAACGGCACCACCGAAGCTAGAAGTAAAGAGCTCAGGGCCTAATCTGATTGATTTCTTTGACTCTACTGACCAACCTCAACAGAAGCAGCTGTCCATGCTGCAGCAAACTCCTCAACAGCAGCAATTCAATCCTCTAACTTTGCAGTTCCAGCAGCCACAACAGATGCAACCGCAACAATTCCAACAAACGGGCTTCCAACTGCAGCAAACTGGGTTTAGCCCGCAGAGTAACTTCCAACAGCCTCAGCAATTCATGCAGCAGATGACAGGCCTGGGCCAGCAGCAGCAGCAGACGGGTTTCGGCGGGCCAATTCGGACAATCGAATTCCAACCCCTTTGGGCAAATGCAACAGCTGCCGCCGACTCAACCTCAACAACAATTACAACCCCTCCAGCCAACCCATACTGGCGCCGGATTCGGCGGCTACACCCCGCAACCACAATGGAACACCTTCCAATCGGCCCTCCCCAGCATCCCGCAAAATGGAATGGCTTCGTTCCAGCAACCCACGCTTACCGGCGGAGGACGGGCAAACAACCCCTTCCGCCAATCCATTCTCCCGCCAGCCTCATCAGACACCTCCAACTTCTCCCCGCTCAGCCCAGCTTCGTCCAACCCTACGCCCTCCTCCACAAACCCCGCAACCACTCTAACCCGTCAATCTACAAACCCCTTCGCCAAACGCCTCACAATGCAAACCCCTCAATTCACAAATGGCTACCAATCCCAATCCTCATCGCCTTTTACCTCCCAACCACCCACCGCCCCCCTCCCTGAACTACCATCCCAAGAACAACAAAACCAACAACCCGCCGCACCCACCCTCCAACCCCAACGAACAGGGAAAAACCCGTTCGCCCGCCCCCAAACAGCACCTGGCCTCCGACCACAACCGCAAACCCAGCCTCAAATGCCCGGGCAGACGCTCGCGCCGCTCCGGCCCAACCCGACCGGTAGCACGAACCCGTTCCGCCAAAGCGTGTTTATAAACCAGCATACGGGGCAGGGGTGGCAGATGGGCCAGCAGGGGACGATGGGGGGACTGGAGAATTTGGAGACAAGGCCGGTGTTTCCAAGGCCGGGACAGCAGATTGCTTAGCTTTTTTCTTTATTTCCTTTTCTTGGTAATGTGTTTGCTCCCTTTGGGTTGTTTTGGGACGGATGGGGGGTAGGAGGGAGGGGGGAGAGGAGAATAGGGGAGAAGATGAAAAGAGTCCTGGTGACCTGGGTACTGCCAAGAAGACACCCGGCCGGCTTGCTGGCTTGTGTGTGTGCACGCGTGAAATTTTGCTATCATTTGCATCTTTGTTATCATTACCATTATCATTCATTCCTCTGGTAAAATTATACCACTCTTGTTCAGCTTCATTTGTCATGTTTGTTTCATTTCATTTCATTTCATTTCATTTCATTTCATTTCATTTCATTTCATTTCTAGCTCTAGCATCACTTTCATTAATCAGTACCTTGTTTCATTGTCATATTTCTTCCCTTTCACCCCCTTTCCTTTGCATGTGGGTGGGTTTTCTTTTCTTTTTCCCTTTCCCATCCCTCCTTGCTACATTTTCGTTTTCATTTCTTCCCTTAAGTGATTTTTCCCCCTAGATATAGTATTATATATATCATCATCTTCAATTTTCTAATTTCTAATTTTAAATTTTCAAATCTGTTCTCTTTCCTTCTTTTCCTTTCTCCATTTCTTCTTTGCACCGCGTCTTTATTGAAAAATTAAAGACAGACAGACAGACAGATAGATAAATATAGCTAGAATTAAAATAAGGCTAATACAATTCTTTTGATTTCTGTGGCAGGCACACGCACACGAAACTGTTGGACGTGTACGGGACATACATAATATACATGCTTACAGCCTGAGGCGGAGGTGAATTTGTTGAAGCATTAAGGGATTGGAGAGTCAGTTTTGATAATCCGCGAGGGCTTTCGTGGGGAGGAACATCTCCGGCCCTCATCTAACTTCTCTTCCTCTTTCATCCTCCTTGTCCCGCTTTAACGTCCATGTAGGCTTTGAGTCAAGAATAGGTTTATGTAAGGGGTGGGGGTTGTGTTGTCGCCAAGGTACTCCGTGCAAATATGAGTGAGTGAGTATATTAGAGAGATAGAGAAGCAAGCACCTTTGGAGAATCAAAACTGAGAACGACTCAATCAAGTCTTTGTTGAAGTCCTTTTTCCACTCCCAGATAGCATAATATATATATCCACGGAGCGACGCAAAGAAGAGAGAGGGTGAGTTTTAAAAAGTAATTTGATCAGCCCTAGGCCCAAGGAAAGTTATATTTTTTATTATCAGAGATGATGGTTGCTTCAATGCAATTCAGGTACTATCCTCCTACCAAGACACTTTCATATAATTTTACCCAGCACCTCAACTGAAATCTATCTCCTGCCACTCACTACGACCAACAGTTTATGTCTATAACATATAAATAACTACACGCAACACAGCTTGCATTGCTCACGGTCTAACCAAAGAGTCGGTCTAATAACATCAGCAGTAGTCAAGTCTGGGATATCCAATCTTTCACTAGAATCTCTCTTCTGAAACAAGCGAAAAAGCACGCAGAAGGTGGACGACCAAACCTATGTCTTGATTCCTCATCCCCCCCCCCTTTTTTTCCCCCTCTTCCTTGATTTTTCTCTCCCTTTCACGTCTCTCCAGAGAAATAAAGGTTTTCCCTCTCTGCTTTAGCGATGTTCTATCTACAGCTAACCCTTAACTCAATAACTCAACCAGAAGCCGGGTTCAACCCACTCCCACTTTCCTCCTTTCAAATGGTGGTTGTGGTATATCCATCTTCCTCTCCTCTTGCCCCCCTCAAATCCACTACATAGTATAACAACCATCTTCAATCCGAATTTCGCAAAAGATGAATAACCCACCCTTCAACAGTCGGTGGTTGGGGGGCTGCTTTGATTGAGTCACGCCCAGGCGAGCGAGACGGAGAGGGAGAAAGGAAGTCTCCTTTATTCATGTTTCCGCTAACTAAACTATAACGAACTAGCAAAACTTAAAATCTTCATTTCAAGCAACCGCCAAATAATAAATATCCTCTGGTTTCCACCTGAAGTTCTGATCGTCGTTCATTAGTTATTCGTCCGATGCATTATTTTGCATCCTGCCCTCGCCCTCGCCCTCGCCCAAATGCCCTTTTTGCCTGGTAAATTAATTCCTCAATGCTGTCGATGAAGAAACTTTCGAAAATTCCTCTGACCTCTCTCTCTCCAGATTTGCTCAAAAAAAGAAAAAAAGAAAAAGAAAATCGGAACACGCGATTTACAGGACATCAAAGAGACGGATGGCATGATATATACTGTTTTAAAAAAAACGAGTATTGAGATAACATTTCAGCCGCTCACCCGGGGCGGGCGGGAGCAGGGATAAAAGCCAACAAGGAAAACAGGAAAAAAATAAAAAACAGCACTCATGCTCTGCTAAAGATCTAGTGACCTTTTCATGCATGACTTAGGAAGTTTGGCTCAAAAATATTGTCTCCGCATTCCTGATCTCTCATCCATCTCAAGCCAACCTAATCAATACCTCCTCCCCTTTCAGCTCAACTCGGTAACAACTACAAAATCTATACAACGAAGGGCTCAAAACTAGAGTGAGGATATCATATCGATGACGAAAACATATTGAAATTCTTTCCTGCGCGCATGGCCCCTATTTATTTTTTAAACAGTCTCGCGATCGGCTTTCCGCCGCGCCTCGAGTGCCTTGACTGACCATGGCAAGTGCTTAACGGGGACGATGAAGAAGCTATTGCTGGCATCTGCGATACCCGCTAGAGCATTATACCACGCCAAAAACGCACAAATGATTCCAAAACCACCGCCCGCCTTGATGAGCGTAGGGTTCGGCGAAAACTCGGGTGTGAGGAAGAAGTGACCAAGAGCAAGCATCAAGAATGCAAGGTCGAGAGTGACGAAGACGAGGCAGAATGCCACTGTGGATCTGAGAGTACAAACGAGGAGGATGGTTGTGAAGATCCACCATCCCTAAAATTGGTGACACGACATATTAGTATAAGGGTCGTCTCTTACTGCAGGAGAAACAAGACCGGATTTTCCATATCAAGAACTTACGAAAAGCCAGAATCCCACTGCGTTCTGGAGCCCGGCTTCTCCGTTTTTCTCGATCATAGTTGCCGTGATTTGAAACCCACCAGGGGTGAAAATAATTGCGTAAGAGATCCAGAAGCCACCGTATGACGAGAGAGCTGTTGCACCGAATGTATTTCCGATTGCCATTTCCCTACAACAATGCCATAATATGTCAGTTCTCGTCATCCACACATTTTCTAAGGATGAAGTGGGGGTGGGACACTCCGCATTTTTATTTTTTTTTATTTTTTTTCTTTTCTTTTTCTTTTTCTTTTCTTTTCTTTTCTTTTCTGTTCTTTTATTTACTTACCACATGCCCGCAAGCAATTGAACGAAGCCACCGTAACCATACGCAGATGCAACCACAATATTTGGCGTGGCCACCCCTCGCGTGTGCATGTTGATCAAACTGAGGACAAATGTGGTGAGGGCGAAAGCAGACAGGCCAAGCGGAGCCGGGTTGGCGAACTTGCGCTGCTCAACGGGGCGATACAGACCGGGCTGGAATTCACCTCCGAAGGCGGGGAGTCGTTCTCCGGTCGTTGGAATCTGAGCGAGAGGACCATATCCGAAGCGAGCGGCGGCCTGGGCGACTTGATATTCCTCATTGGTCATGGTGCGGCCCGGTTGGCTTCCATTGGAAGACACGTTGGCGAAATCTTTTTCTGTTGGTTCGCTCATTGTTCCCCACGCGCTTGTTGTCTGTTTATGCGTATACCACGAGTCGACGGGGTCTTTTTCTCCCTGATATAAGGGCTTGGAGGGAGGAGATGGTTAGATCTACTGAATCTAAATAGGGACGAGAAGAAAAAGAAGAAATGTGAAAGAGAAAAGAGAGACCGCAGGATAGGTTAAGTTGAAGAGAAAAAGAGAAAGAAGTCGGACGAACCTGCTCTATGCACACAAAGAAGGATAGGGAGGAACGCAGGGGCGAGGAACAAGGAAAGAACAGGAAGGAAGGATGGCCAGAACTAAAAGACGAGGAAGGCGGGAAGGAAGGGTATAAAAGGGACAGTGAGACAAGTCGAGAAGAGGAGAATTCTGGAGAAACGATTGATATTCTTCTCTATAGGAGGAGCTAACAATGCTACTCGGTGAGGTCGGTCGGACAGACGGGATGTTCGTTTTTGTCAACGATCCAAGACGTAATGAAGTATCATTACTGATTGGAATTAGACCAGGACGGGGAGAGCGAGAGACACTAGATTGGGCCTTGGCTGGGCCTTGGCTGGGCGGGAGCTGTTTGGTTTCGTTTTGAGAGACCGGAGCAAAACAAAGAACAGGTATCCTCTCCTTTATTTTGCATTATTAGGTAGGTAAGGATCATTGACGGGGTAAAGGCGTGGAGGACATGAAAAAAAAAAAAAAAAAAAAAAAAAAAAAAAACACAACGTGGGATAAGGTTGGTGGAGAGAACAAGCTGACTCTTTGATACAAATTAAAGGAAGCGAATGACTGCCTAGGTTTTTTTTTTTTTTTTAGATGGCCGATAACCCCAGGAAAGGAAGAAGGATGGAGCTGTGCCAGGATCGGAACGATAAAGCTCAACTGGACATCTGTTGATATTTTCTGTCTCATAAATTTTTATTTCCCAGAACTAGGTACCGAATTACCCACCCCAACCAGCATCCGAAAACCAGGAATGACGTAGAGCTCCATAGATTTTCGCATTCCGCACTAAACTCATATCAGGTGGGTAATTCTTTTTGTCAAAGAGCAGCTGAATGAACCCGGGGGAACAGGAATTTTATTTTACTTCCGGAAGCGGTGGACGGAGTTGCATGTGGACTCTCTTTCTCTCTCTTCTTTTTTTTTTTTTTTTCTCTAATTTATATTCGTGATTGAGATCTCGAGCAGAACAGGAGGCACTCAACAATGCGGTCATACATCGGCTCGGAACCTTGGATGCAGGGGCAAGAAGGAGGCAAAAACGGACCATCTGGAAGGGCGAAATAAAACGGTGTGACCGTGGTCCCAGATTTAAGTTAACCCGAGATTTCTATGGGTATATTTTTGGCCAAAGTGAATTCATTTTCCGACATAGTACCCAAATCCATTTAGGGATAACTTGCCGCGGATTTTCCGGAAGTAAAGTTTTATCTCTTTTCTTTTCTTGTCTTATCTTTTTTTCCTATTGCTTCACATGTAATTGCTACGCAGATGAGATAATGTATGTCGTAGATTACAGATGCTGTGCAATGCCTGCAGCCGGTTTTCCGCCTCTACCGCTGCAGCTATCCTGCCATTATCGAATTGAAAATTAAATTTTTCTCTTATTATTATTGCTCTCTCTATAATTGTGGAATTTAAAGAGCCAAAAAAGTGTCAATTAGGAAGAATATAAGAAGCTGCTACGCCGTGTGATGTCTATACCATATATGATTGATTGCTCGCGATCAATTTGAATAAAAAGCGTAGAAATTTCCCCCAAATCCCATAAGCTGGAGCTCAATCCATCCATTCCATCTATCTATTTCAACAAACAGACGAGATTACATTGAGACCTGTTTCATGAAGCTCCTATATCGGATAAAAAATTAACATAATACAAAACTACCTACATACAATAATGGTTAAGTAAGTTCCAAAAAGTCTTTCCCCAACACCATCATGATCATCATCGTCGTCGTTGGCATGTTAGTATCGGAGCAAATACCTCAAAGTCGGGACTGAGACGGTCTCACTTTTTCACGGAGTTTCCAGGATCAGAATGTCAATTCTGGGATATTATTTTGGTGTTTTTAGTTTTTAATTGTTCCGGGCATACATGTGATTTTGTTCAAGACTTTTTATACTTGTGTCAATGTTAATCTGGATTGATTTCCCCTTTTTCGCATGGTCGACCCAAACCAAATTAGGGTTCTGGTATACTGCGTAACTAGTTACGTCCATGGGTTGCATAAAAAGGTAAAAGGTAAAATACCCGTTTCATCCTTCAGCTGCTGAGCAGTGCTAGGATCTCGGTGAAACTGTGGCCAGTCCAGTGATGATGGGCAGTGAAAGCCGAAACGAGGAGCGAATGACACAGACAGACGCATGAGGAATTTGTTTTCTCCCCTCGATGTGCATGATCATCATTACAATCCCAGGATTTGTGAGCATCGTAGTGTACGTGCACATATGCAATACAAGAAAGCCCCCTCCCAATCCCCCACGGGCCAAAAGTCATATAGCTATTTCCTTTTTCACTCGAGGGAGCCAAATTGTAAAAAAAAGGGGTTCCCGGGAGGTCTTTAGTAAAGTTCTTGAGCCAAAGCCACAGCTCTTGGAGGAAGGCTTCAAAATGCCACATGGTGACATGGCTTCGTGCAAGCCTATTCCGGATCCACAAAGCTTCCCCACAAATTCGCTCTCCTTTGGGCCCTGGCGTGCTAGAATCTGGGGTAACTAGTGTATTAAGCCTGGTTTGCTATCACTAGCATACATCTGGCGACAAATAGACGAGCCCAGTCCCTTCTTGAACGTTGAACCCTACCAAGTTTGGGGGGCTTGGTGCGCTGAAGGTTACAAAAGCTGCTTAACGCTGAAGTTTTGCAAATTTGAGCTTTAACTTATTTGCAAAATTAACACAAGTTCCAGGATCGCTGTGCAATATATTGATATTTCAGGGGTGAAATTTTGATTCCAAACGGGAGTTGAGATGGCCCTTTGAGCTTCCTGTATCAGTCTGATAATCAAGGTGCAGTTGTCCTAGCTTCTTTTCTTCTGAACTTATGCTGTCTTTATATTGTTAATCCGAACGAAATCACGATCAACCGTGGTTTCATATCTCAATATTTTTTATTCATTTTTCACCCTTTATTTTCATGAACGTATAGGTACGGCGGGAGCAACGAAGCAGAGATGAATAACGCACGAGTTCGAGGACCAAACAAACCACCCACGATTTTCCTTCACCGCATCTTCAAAGCCCCCACCCCCTCTCTTATAGCAACTCATGTCGATGAATTGACGTGAAACCTGATAGAGAGACCTGACGCATCAATTGCCGTGTGCTAAACATGCAGATGATGGCCTCAGAGCTCAGAGGGGAAAAGGTAAATGAAGAATGATTCCGGATTGGTTGACATGCTCAACCTGCCCATCGCGAGAGAGTGGAACGGAGGACAGATCCCAAGGACGGATGAGCAATTAGATCTGCCTATCCTACCCACAGATGATGGGTTGTGATTGCACCTGCGACGGGAGAAGTCGCACGAAAACGGCAACCCTGGGCAAGATTTCTTATTTGCTCCGAAGGGCTAGGGTCATTATTATTGAATGGCGACGGCGGATGTTGAAGATCGTACAAGGCATTGCATAACGCATAGCCCGACAGCGAGTGGGGTGAGATAGCGGTGACACACATGTAACATTATTATTGTGTGCTTTGTGTGCAGGAGTCGACGTCGTGGTACAAACAGAGAGTACGTACCGTGCATCCACCGGGCGTCATCTTGGAGACAAGGGGATTTATCCCCTCCATGCACATGCTCTATCCGGACAGTAGGCCCCCGTGTGCTATGTCCACTTTCTATATGGTTCATTTGACAGCGAAAATCACACTGATCGTTGTTGTGAACGTGATTGGTGTCCTCTCCCTGCGTCCGGCCAGGCTACCCTTAAATAGGCGCCAAGGCTGCGGGCGTTCAGCCTCACTAAAATTACCACAGTTCAGGCCTCGTTAGGCGTCGTCAAACTTGAAACCCCTCTATTTCCGGTTAAAGCCACGGCAGATGGGCAAGGCGTCGGACGCCTGGAACCTTGGCACCGGAGCAGGGACTGACTTCGATTTTCATCCCTCACAAGCCCGCGAGAATATATGATGACCCGTGACACGATGCAGGCTGGTGGTTCCTTTGAAACATCCGAATTGGACATCTATGGCTAGGTTAACAACAATAGCGATGTCTAGTGGATTGAGTGGTGGGACATCTAACTATAGCCCAAGACGCTAGCTTCATCTCTCAATGCGGGACGTCTGAGTGGTTGTAATAATATTAATATTGGTTCTATCTACGGAGTAACCGTGCCATGCTTACTCACTCCCTCTAGTGAGTGCACCAGTGTACAGAAAACCACACTGTACAGAAAATATTATCAATATCTTCATTCTTCATCTTCAAATAATCATTATTAATTATAATCATGTCTAAATCTTCTAATTACACTGAGGAGCAGTTGCAAAGAGCAGTTGACACATATAAAAGCAATTTAAAATTAAAAATCACATCTCTGTCATGAGAATTCAAAGTCTTATATATTATCTTATATGAAAGAATCAATGAAAAGAAATCAGAAACTATAAGAGTTTCACTAAATAAAGTATTGAATAATAGTCAGAAAGAGATAATTAAGATATGAATTTATCAGTTGAATATTAATTTTTGTCTATTCACTATCAAGTATATCAAAGTTGCTGTGAACTGTATATTAAAACAGTATTATACAGATTCAGAGACTGCATCTCTTACAGTAAGCAAGATATAAATATATCAATTCATTAAATATCTATCAGATTATGAATAAGTCAAGCAAAAGCTTCTGAATTTAAAATAAGTATCTTATAAGAATATAAGCTTCATTATTAACTGATTTAATTAATATAAAGCTGTTTTCAATTAATATCATTTTTTTCACTATGATATCTATAACTTTGATAAGATTGAATTTCAAGAAGAAGAAGAATATAAATAGTAAGCTATAACTGTTTTTAGAGACATGAATTCTGTCATACAGTTATTATACTCTCATAGATTAATAACAATGATAGAGTGTGTTAATGCAGATAATACAGTATTAAATTCATTAATTATAATGAAATTGAAGATTTATCTAGAGAATTAATATACATACTTTAACTTATCTGATAACTACATTATTACTGCATCTGAGTCTGGCTTTATAAATAATGAGATTGAATTTGAATAAATCAAGTGATTCAATAAGATGATAAAAAAGCATTAAATGAGCAGTCATTGACTGCTATTAATAAATAATTATAATTCTCATCTCATAGAAGAATTTAATTAATACTGTAATCTTTATAAGATGATTCTGTTCAGATTCTCATCTCATATAACTTATATAACTATGTGACTGTGACTGAGATCAGAATCAGAATATTTAATAATTTCATTTTCAATTTAACTGATTCTATTACACAGTTTTAAGATTAGATAGTAGTCTTATACTGTCTTAGTAAGACTTACTATCTACTCTTATCACATTTTTCAAATAAGATTATAATTTTCACTTCTCAATTTAAATTATTTTTATTGCTTTAAATGACTTTAAATCTCATTTTGTGACAGGCTGCGCCGGATCAATTATATAGACTATTTCATTACACTTCATAGATTCCGCTAAAAGCTCTGATTCTCAGTTATTCTCAATCACTGATTCTTAGCTGAAAAACTTATGAAATTTCTATTCTTTCACTCTGAAGCTTCACTGTGTACATCACTGTGTACATGTATAACTATTCACTCTGATCACTGATTCTCACACTTTCTCTTTCTTTTTCTTCTTTAACATTTGTTACTTTTATATTATAAGACTTATATATTATACTGATCTATTCAGTGTAGGCCTCTTACACTTAAAAAACATTTATTATCTTCTTATTAGAAATGATTACTCATCAAGATATTCAAATATATAATAATATATAAGAAATAGAGAAACAATCAGTTAAGCAGATATCAAGTCTTAATCAGTTAAGTGAACACTGAGTCTCTAAATAGAAGCTTACTCACTAGTCACTCTGATCTTATAATAAGATCTCATGAAGAGAATAAGATCTTATAAGAGAATATCAGTGAAAGATCTGAGAGTTCTGACACTCTAGATATATGAGATATTTATATAATTACACTTCTTCTGATTTCACAGTTATCACATATTTAATAAACAATATAATCATGTCTATCAATAATATGAAAAAACTCTCAAATATAAATATAAACACAGTACTGCAATGACTCTGAGCAATGTTGAAATTACAATAATAATAAATAGCTGATATGCATGTGACTTAACAACATTAATATGAAGAGATTCAATGATTATTCTAATAAGAAACCTCTGTATAGATAATTTTAACACTAACAGAATTGAATATAAATACAATACAAACACTGAAGAAATACTTGAATACTCTTATATATTTTAATGCTTCTGATCCCACTCTCTACTCATTATAAAGATTGAAAATACTCATGAAACTAAGTGTAGATAAAGATGTTATCAGTTCTGTGATTCGGAAGAACGTACGACCGTCGGTGTGGTTCGGAAGAACGTGCGACCGTCGGATAATAACGCGGCCGCTTCCGAACTTGCTTATGAATGTAAGGGGGCCATAGCGGCCACTAATTAATTTAGCATATGATATATAAGAAGTCAGCATACACCTGTAATTGTATGCTGGCTCAAGCAACCTTTGAATCACATCTGATAGCATGTCTAAAAACTGGTGAGAAGTGCAGGCTTCTTCAGAACATGATAATTCTATCTATGAAATGATTTATAGTTATCATGTCAGTGTGATTTTAGAACATCTCAAAAGATAGTATATGAAGAGCAGTGAGTGAAAGAGCATTTGATTGATGCTGCTTCACTTATTGAGAGAAAACTTCACACTCAGATGAATGCCATGTATGAGATGTGAACAGATGAGATATGAGAAAGAAGATGAGAGTGATGAACCAGATTCAAAGAAGTCTGCTCTCTACTCAAAAAAAGAATAAAAAGAGAACAGTGGCTATCACTGAAGTTATATAATAATAACAGAAATCATATAACAATATAATGATATAGTAATATAATAATAGACATTGTACAATCAATGAGAAATCACTGAAATGAATATCTTTTCTAGTTAATATGAATAATATTCTTCTCTGCTATCTGAACTGAAAGATATACAGAATCTCTCAGAGGATTTACTTAAAGTAGTAAGAAAAGCAGCTGAAACTGCTGAATCAGAATCAAAGCTTCATATATGTATGAGAATTCTAAACAAGATTGAGGCCTTGTGTATGCAGTGATAGACTGAGATAGAAGTCAAACAACAATTAGCATTCACTGTAGATTAAGTATTCACTATGAAGAGCTTCACTGATGCAATTATCATTATTAATAAGAATAGAGAAAATCAGATCTTAGATCTGCAGCAGAAGATTAAATGTTTATATAGACAGATAACTACACTGAATCTGAAGATCTTATCACAATCATTTACAATCTCTTCAGAAGTATACATATTATCAGAGATCACTGCACAGAATGGGAATCTGAGTATGAGATATATTAAGCTGAGAGATCTGCTGAAGCTATCAAGCTTTAATAGCAACTGAAAAAATGATGCTGTAATCAGCTGACTAAGTCAGATGTAATTATATTATCAGATTGAATGTGAACTCACAGACAGACAGTTAATAAAATTTTAACAGATCTTAAAATCTGCTGTATTTCTATACAGAAAAGTGAAGTTATTATAAATAACTGATAAAAAGATAAATCTTATAGATCTGAAGTGATATTCATTCTTATAAATATGAAATGAGTTTTTCAAATGAATCTTATACAACTTTGAGAAAGTGAATATATGAGATAAGTATTATAAATACTTCACTGAGTGTAGATAAGTAAGTAATCTTATATCATACTTCACACACTTCAGCTTATACTATCTCATATTGAATGAAGAGCTTTTAATATCTTTCTGTTTACAGATCTTCATTCATAATCTTACACTTAAGTTGAGAGTGAAATGAAAATGCTTAATCTCACAGTCAGACATAGTGAAGAAAGCATACAATATTCTCATTGTACAGGAACAAGTGAGTCAATTATAACAGAAAATACTGCAATTGAGTATATCTTAGTGAAGAATAGATAATCAGACTTCTATAATACAAGCTACACATCTGAATGCAATGAATCTAGATCTGAATGTCATTATTAAAGCACTGAATTCTCTGAAAAAGAGATTCTCTGAGTGAAAATCTTAGTATTATGAATATTGAGCTTGCTTTAACTGTGAATGTCAAAATCATGATATAAAAGATTACACACAGTATATACAGTTAAGAAAAGCAAGAAAGTTAAGAAACTAGCAGAATCAATGAGCTTGAAGACACTCACTGATATTCTATGAAAAGTCTTCAAAGTGAAAGAGATGTCTGTGTTAGATGACTCTCTGAATTCTATAAATATCAAGAAGAAGCAGGCTTCTGACTGAGATGCAGATGAGAATGAAGTGAACACTCATCTCAATATCTTGAGACCTGAAATGTTAATATATAAGAGACACTTGAATAAGAACAGAGAGATGACTGCAAAAGTGTTAGTGAATACAGAAGCTTCTATATAATATATTGATAATCATATGATCTGAAGACTAAAAGAGGTTCACTGAGTGAAGAATTCCTGATATATAAGATTATCTGATAATTAATATTTAATATCATCTGTAAGAGTAAGAGTTCTCTTGCACTTTGAAGAATGATCTTGCTATATTTGAGTGTGAGAGCTGCAGAATGTGAAATACAATCTTATTCTCAGACTTAATTGATTTCAAAGGTTCAATCTGCAGATTCAATGATGTATATGTCATATACAGTTAACTGATAGAAAGAAAACAGTGCATA